GGCCAGGCGGCTCTGCACGCTGCCCCGTCTGCAGGCACCGCCCCTGCAGCTCCCATTGGAGCACTGGAGGGGCCATTGGAGCACGTAGGAACCGGAGCAGGGCCATGCCACGGCTTCCAGGAGCCGCATGGTACGGCCCCTGACCCAGCGCCCTGGCCGGAGCTGGGCAAGCCCCAGACCCCGCTCCCCAGCGGGAGCTTGCGGGCCGGCTTAAAACGGCTGGTGAGCCGTAGTTTGCCCACCCCTGCACTAGGGGGTGCTGTGCTGCAGGGGATGGGGGCGGATTACCCAGTAGGGGGCGCTCTGGGTCGGTGCGGATCCCCAAGCTAGTTCTCTAGAGGGCACTGTGCTGCCGGGTGTCTGACCTGCGCCTCCCGCCCCCAGGTGGTGAGCCTGCCCGTGACGGAAGCATTGATTGAGCGTGAGAACGCCACGCAGCTCAAGAAGTGGCGCGAGACCCGCGGGGAGCTGCAGTATAAACCCTCCCGCCGCCTCCACGGCTCCCGCGCCATCCACGAAGAGTGTCACCGCATGAACCCCCCGCTGACCTCCAGCGCCAGCCTGCTCAGCCTCACCGGCTTCAAACAGCGGGCGGCCCGCGGCGGCAGCGGGGCAAGTGCGGGGAGCAACTTCTCCCCTGCCCACCCCGTGGGCATCCTGGCCGTCTCTGCTGCCCCCGCTCCAGCCGCTGCCCCGGGCCAGGTGGTGTCGGAAGGGCTCCACCCTGCTCTGCCCTCCCCCACGGGGAACAACACGCCTCTGGGGGGCCCCAAGAAGGGGGGAGCGAAGGAGAAGAAGAAGGAGAAGGAGCGGGAGCGGCTGCAGAAGGAGCGGGAGAAGCAGGAGAAGGAGCGGGAGCGGCTGCAGAAGGAGCGGGAGAAGCAGGAGAAGAAGGAGAAGGAGAAGCTGGAGCGGAAGCAGCAGAAGGAGCGTGCCAAGGAGGAGGCCAAGCAGAAGAAAGAGAGGAAGGTCTCCATGCGCCGGAAGGAGGCCAAAGCCCCGCCCCGTGCCGAGGACGGGGGGCAAGAAGGGGATCCCCCAGCAGGCTCTGTGCTGCAGGACACTTACTTCTGAGCTGGGGAGAGGTGGGGGCGGGACAGCGGGGGGGCCCCTGCTGCCTCCGACCCACCACAGATTCAGCCAAGGACCAAGGGGTGGGGAGACTCAGATGGGGGTGGGGTCGCTGGCTGGGAGGAAGCTGGAATCTAAAGGACAAGAGAGGGTTGAGCTCTGAGCTAGCCTCCAGGGGGCGCTCCACAATCTTCCTTCTGCCAGGAGGGGACCTGCTTAACGACTTTGAAAGCCAAACGACTACTGTGCTCCCTCCCCCCTCTTTTCTGTGTCCTCCCCTCCCATCGGTGGAACAAACAGGTACACCCCTCCCTCCAAGCGCTTTTCCAGGGGTGTGGGGCGTGTCCCCCTCAAGTCTTAACCGGAATATAATTGTATTAATAATAGTCCAGCCCGTTTACTGTATATAGGAGAATCCCCTTTAAACTATTTAACCACTCCAGCCCTACACTCCCCCCGCCCCTCTCCTCGGGAGAAGCAATTCTCTTGCCCCCATGCTAGCAGGAGCGCTCCTCTTTGTGCTGGTCACCCCCAAACGCAGTTCTTGTTGATGGACACAGGTATCAATAAAGTTCTTCTGCTTTGACTTTCAGTGGCAAGACGGATGAACTTTATTGACAGCCCAGTGTATGCGGACAGGGTATAAGTTCCTCCGTGTCCCAACACCACATTTCTTTATTTATCAGTAGCCCAGTGTTCCCCGACAGGGCATCAGTAATGCTCATCCACCTCTCAAGAAGGCGTCGATAAAGTCACGTGCCAGGTGAGAAACTTTATCGATAGTCCAGTGCTTGCAGACAAGAGAACAAGAAAGTTCTTCCATCTCCCAGCACAGGATTTTTGTGGCAAGGAGTAAACTTTATTGATAGCCCAGTGTTGGACAAACTGGACTGTTCTCTTGCCTGCCATTCCTGGGCTGTCAATAAAGTTCACTCCTTGTCCCCATCTAGGGGTTCATTACTTGTGTGGTACCTGGCGGCCCACTGTTATGGTCTCCTTTTGGGCCTTCTGGGAAAGATGGTGAACTTTATTGGTGGCCCACTTTGCTGACAAGGTGTCAATAAAGTTTCTTCCCTGTAAGAGTGGGGGGATGAACTTTATTGACAACCTAGTGTTCGCAGCCAGAGCATGGCATTTGATGTAAGGGCAGGGATGAGCTTTATCGACACTCCAGTGTTTGCAGACGGGGTATCAATAAAGTTTATTTCATGTGAGAGCCGTGATAAATTTTATCGAGTCCCCAGTGTTGGTGGACAGGGAGCCAGTAAAGGCCCACAGTGGCTGATGCTATGGGGCTTTTTCAGGAGCAACTGTATCCAGCTAGCACCACATAGCCCCCCCTAATTTGCCCCGGGGGGATTAAATTGCCCCCTAGACAATACCCCCCCCCCCCCCGGATGCTCCCTTGGTTCTCCCTTTTGTCTTATCAATTCCCTGCCTCCCCTTCCCTGGCTTATTTGTGATTCACCCCCACCATCAACACACTCCAGTCCACCCAGACCCAACAACTCCCCCCACCCCGGCCCCTTAAAAAGCATGAACAAACACCCTTACAATAACTGGAATTTTCTCTCTCTGGCTGTGGTATGCTGTGCGACCACTAGAGGGCACCCACTGGTCCCATGGAGGGAGAGCAGGGGTCTCTGGTTGGGTCCCAGATGGGAGGCTAACACTTCCACGCTGGCTGGGAGAGGGGTGAGCCTGACCCACTGGGAACCCCCCAACCCTTGCTGTCTTGTGTAAAGCTAGCAAACAGCACCAGGACTCCTGGGTTCTATCCCTGACTCCAGGCGGGGAGTGGGGGCTAGTGGGTTAGAATGGGGGTGGGTGGGCTGGGAATCAGGACTCCTGGGTTCTATCCCCAGCTCTGCCACTCCCTGCCCATGTGACTTCAACAAAGTCACTTCCCCCTTTTCTGTGCCTCAGTTTCCCCTCTTTGCAAGACATGGCTTTAACTTAACCTTGTAGAGTCGCTCCTTGGAGCAAGAGACCACATTACTGCTCTTTGCCGCCAGCCAAACCTCATTCCCACAATTCACCTCTCCCACAAACCATGCCGCTAGCTGGCCCCCATAGCTGCCCTCCCATCTGCCACCCAACAAGCCCCCCCTTTTCTCCCTCCCACCCTTTGTATATACGTGTCTCTCTATACACATATATTATATATATGTCTTGGTATTGTAATTATGTATACAGACATTTTGGGTTTGGCCATGAGGTCTTATTTAATGGGACAGACACTGGAATATAGAGATACAGCCCCCCCCCCCCACTCCCTAGCCTCTCTTTTTATGCCACCCCCATCCTGGGCAGGAAGGGCAGAAAACCGGATGTTTACATTTTACATCTCTCCTCTTTTTCCTTCCTTCTCCATTCCCACGCGCGCGCCCGCCCCTTTCTGTTGTTCGTGCCTCATCCTTGGAGATTTTATTTTGTTGCTTTGTTTAAAAAGGTTACAAAAAAAAAATATTGCAAACTTGGTGGAAGACACAGCGCTGTTCTTTGGGGGGTCATGGTTGGGTTGGGGGACGTGGCTCTCTGAGGATCATTTGGGTTGTAGGTCTCAGAATCGTGGGCTCTTGGGGGGGTGTCACTGGATTGGGGGGTATAGTGCTCTGAGGGTCTTTGGGTTGCGGGTGATGGATCTTTGAGAATCATTGGCTCTTGGAGGGTCATTTGAGACTCGTTGGCTGATTGGGGGTCATGGCTCTTTTGAGTCATTGGGTTGGGGGTCACAGGTTTTTGAGGGTCACTGGATTCTAGGTCTTTGGTCGTTGGGCTCTTTCGGGGTCATTGGGTTGGGGGTCTGGCTCTTTGAGGGTCACTGGATTGTAGGTCTTTGAGAATCATTAGCTTGAGGGTTGTGGTTCTTGAAGGCCTTTGGGTTTTAGATCTCTGAGAATCATCATAGTTCTTTGACAGTTGTTGGCTTGGGGGTCTTGAAGGATCTTTAGGTCTTTGAGAGTCCTTGGACTGTGGGTCTTGGTTCCTTGAAAGTCTTTTGAGGGTGTCATGGGGGAACAGGCTTGGTGCTCTTGAACAGCTGTGAATCGGGCCCTCTCCAGGGTGCACACTCACTAGGGTACGCCTCCTTGGGCCGACCTCAGATCCTTCAGCACCCCTGTTCCACGCAGTGAGTCCACCTGAGTAGGGCACCTGGGGAAGCCTTGTGCACCCCCCAAAGGGGCCATGCACCCCGACTTCTGCAGTCAGCAGTGACTCCCAGCCAGGGGGGTACCCCAGAAGGGTTTGTTAGGCTTCTGGAACAGCGGAGAAACATTCATCATTAGCACAGAGAGCAGGACATCACAGCAAAGTCCATCTTGGTCAGACGCGGAGCCCGGGGCTGCTCTCTGACTGCCTGAAACCTGTCCAGCTGCACGTGTGTCTGTCCCACGGGCAGGCTTCCTGGGCTTTGTTCTCCAAGTGGTAAGAACTGGCTGGCTTCCTGCCCAGGCCAGACTCAACAGCTGCCAGGAAACAAATTGTCTGTTAGCTGGGTCCAGGCAGCTAGGGGCACTCGCACCTGGTCCTCTAGAGGTCTCTGCAAATGCCCTTGTCCCACCACCTGGTTAATCATGCAGCATGTGAGGGAAACTGAGACACAGTATTCAGACAACCCCCCACTTCATCACAGAGGGTCATTGGGTCCTGGTGCTGGGGTTGTTCTGGGCCATTGGCATGAGGGTTTGCTGAGTTGTGAGTCTCAGTTCCTTAAGGGTCACTTTGTGAGGTTAGCGAGTGCCAGGACTCCTGGGTTCTGTCCCCAGCTCTGGGAGGGAAGTGTGGCTTAGTGGGTTAGAGTGGGGGAGGGAGGGTTGGGAACCAGGACTCCTGGGTTCTGTGGGTGGGGAACAAGGTCTAGCAGGTTAGAGATCTTGACTGGGTGGACGAGCGGTGGCCACAAGGGTCCGGGCTGTGAATTGTGGGAGGACAACGCCGGGAAGTTCTGTGCTTGTGTAGGTTTGGAGAGGACGGTGGGGAACTGGGTACTATCCCCAAGGGCGGGGGCTTGGAAGAGAAACGGTTGCGGCACCATTGTTGGAGGTCAGAGCTAGAGTCTGGAGGGACAGACGGGGACGATCCTGCCCCAGGCGGATACAGGCTACGTGGGCCTTGATGGAGCGTCTCCTCCTCTGCTGATCTCTGTGGCACGAGATCTTCCTTCGGCGCAGGTGAGGATTGGCTGAAACGAACTGGGATGTTCTCAGACCTAAGAGCTGACCCCAATGCCTCGGTGCCGCGCTAGGGGGCGCTGTGCTGCATGGAGCAGGGTGGGGGGCTCTGAAGGGGGCGCTATCCCCTGGCAGTCAGTGCTCCAGCTCCCCACTGCACCCCCTGCTGGGAGAGGGCGGGACTGGAGTAGCCGGGAGCTCCTCCCACAGCCAGTGCCCTGCCCTCCTCCCCACAGCACCCCCTGCTGCTGGCTGGATGTGACCAAATGGTGAATTCACACGGCTGGTACCAGGGCCTGGATAGAACAATTTTATTATTGTAAAGGCATCTTCACAGTGTAAATATTTGGCAAATATTTTATCCCCATTTCCCAGTCACCCCAGACCACCAAGGCTGGTGCCCCTTAATCCCAACATGCAGCCCCTGCTTGCCCACCCCTGGGTTCCCCATAGTTTCTCCTATATTCGATGGCAATGAATGTGGATTCCCTAGCCGCTCCGGCTCGCCACCTTTCCCCACTCCCTACTCCAAATCAATCAGGTCCCCCTGTGCTGTCTGGTCCCCTCCTGCTCTCCCCTCCCGCCACCTCGCCCTCAGTTTCATCATCTCCTCCCCGAACTGGCGGTGAAGCCCTTCAAAGTCTGGCAATCCCACCGCTGACACCAATGGGCTGCCCTGCGCAGCCCCCTCTTCCAGTGGTGTCGCCCTGAGGGCCCCGCTGGCCCAGTACTGTCCCTCCAGATCTGTCAACAGGGCCTGCAGGTACTTGAAGCTCGCCGAGCTCAGAGCCCGCACCCAGCCCTCCATGGAAGCCTGGTCTTCAGCAGCCATCTTGTAAGCCCGGTGGCGCAGTGGCCCCTGGGTATAGGAGATCTCGAAGGTGAAAGGCTCCGTGGCAGATTCCTGTAGCTCCACAGTGCAGCCCTCCAGCAGGATCAGACCCAGCGGCTCACGGTCCCCCTGCCGCTCCCAGTAAAAGAGCAGGTTCCCCCGCAGCTCGCACCAGCGCCGCTGGTAGCTGCTGGTGCGTTCGCTCTTCTTGTACAGCCGCCCCTGCCGGTCGGGGGGCGCCGCCATGCGGGAGTAGCCCAGGACGCTGGTTTCGTGCAACTTCATGTGGACGGGGACCTGGGAAGGGGGAGATAGGGAATGGGGCATGGGGCCTTTCCCCTCTAGAGGGCACCAGCCCCAATCCAGCCCGAGGGTGGAGACTGGCTGGCTCCGGGGGCATGGAATGGGACATTTGGCCTTTCCTCTCTAGGGGGACCAGTCCCTGGGTGGGGACTGGCTGGCTCCGGGGGCAGGGAATGGGACGCGGGGCCTTTCCCCTCTAGGGGGACCAGTCCCTGGGTGGGGACTGGCTGGCTCCGGGGGCAGGGAATGGGACACGGGGCCTTTCCCCTCTAGGGGGACCAGTCCCTGGGTGGGGACTGGCTGGCTCCGGGGGCAGGGAATGGGACACGGGGCCTTTCCCCTCTAGGGGGCTCCAGCCCCAAGGCGGAGACTGGCTGGCTCCGAGGGCAGGGAATGGGACACAGGGCCTTTCCTCTCTAGGGGACTCCAGCCCCAGGGCGGGGACTGGCTGGCTCCGGGGGCAGGGAATGGGACACGGGGCCTTTCATCTCTAGGGGGACCAGTCCCTGGGTGGGGACTGGCTGGCTCAGGGGGCAGGGAATGGGACACGGGGCCTTTCCCCTCTAGGGGGCACCAGTCCCTGGGTGGGGACTGGCTGGCTCAGGAGGGCAGGGAATGGGACACGGGGCCTTTCCCCTGCAGAAGGTGCCAGCCCCAACCCAGCCCTAGGGCGAGGACTTTACCTGCCTTCTCCTGCTCGCCTCTGTCTGTGATCAGCCAGATCCCGGATCCACCTTTGTCCTGGAAATCTGCTGCCCCTCTTTGGGGCGTGGGGGCTCCCCAGTTTTCCCTTCCCCTTTTCTCTCTGGGGCAGAGCAGGGGTCACTTTTAAGGTCCAGCTATTTGACCTCAATTGTCCCCTCAATCCAGCTATGAGCCCCCGACACCTGTCTCTGCTAGTGTGTCCGCCGGGGGAGTGCACTAGTGGCTATTCTGGGGTACAGCCCCTCTGGGCCCCCTTCTTATCCCTGCCCTAGGGCACCTTACTAGGCAGGGGAACAGAAGAGCTAGAACAAGGAACTAACTCTAGGGGAGTTGCCTAGTCGGGAGTTCCCCTTGGTCCTAAGGAGATCCATGTTCCTGGGGGAACTTGGGGGGCCTGGAGACTGATCGGGGGGGGGCTGTCCCAGCTTAGAAGGTGTCCCCCCAAAAACGAAGACCAGCCCTGGTTAAACACAAGGGGGTCATACCACATCCTTACCCCAAATTTGGGGACTCTGGCTGCCCTGGGGTGGGACCCAGAGGTGTGACCCCGGGTGGGTTGGGGTTCACCCCCCTCCATGGGCAGGTGGCATTGTGGGGGGGCCCCGGGTTTAAAACGCCACCGGCTCTTCCGAGGGGCTGGGGGGCACCAGGGCCAGGAAAGGGGGCAGGGAGGGCTCCCATCCGCCACCGGGGCACGGGGGGGTTTCTGGGGGGGTCTGACAACATCAGGCATGTGGGGGGGGGGTGAGGGGCAGTTTGTCCCGGGGGGGCAGAGGGGGAGGGGTGGGGGGGAGTGGACCCCCAGGATGGCTGTAATAGGGGGTGG